AATGGAAAATAAAGTTTGAAGCTTTTTCTTCAAAATTAACGCATTTCTTTCGTTTTTTTCCCAGTTTTAAATATTTTTTATGTTTAATTACATTAATATTAAAAATTAGTGAGTAGCAAGGGAGTTAATTAATAACAGGATAAACTACTTTTATGTAATAGTGTTTAATTTTTAATTTTAGTAATTCAGCGATTATAAAAAAATGAAATTGTTTATTAGAATAAAAAATAACTAATTAAAAATTTGTTTGCAAACTTTTAAAAGTTGAAATCGTAATTTATTAGAATGTTCACTTCAAAATAGCTAAATAGATCAGTAAAAATCTGTAATTTAATCGTTTTTCATGTTTAAAACATTACTACACAACATAAAAAATTATAAATAGTTACCCAACGTTTACAGTAAAATACTGGCGCTGACTTGTTGTTGGCACAAGCTTTTTGTATTTGTTGTTACGATTTTCCTTGAATGTACTGTACTGCAAGCATTTTTTTCCACAACTCCAATACATAGTTTAATAATTAGTTTAACTGAAATGACATTGGGTAACAAATATCACTGATTTTGGCAAATTTAGGGCTTAAAAACTGGCAAGATTGATCATGCTTGTAATAAATATTCTGTAGTTATATTTTCGAAAATCAACAGGTAATCCGATAGTTTAACCAATGTTAACTTGCTTATAATTAAAATTTAAAAATTAAAAAGCTGTAAATTTAAAAAAAAATAATTACATTACTAAAAAATTAAAATAAATTTGATTATCTTTTGTGCGAAACAACACCAAAACAATTTTTATAATTATGTTGCAAAAGAAAGAGATTTGTAGTTATGATTCTCTGCGCTGAACTTCTATACTTTAATAACATATAATTATAATTTCGTTTGTTGTTTATTTCTGTATTTATTTTATTTTATATGTTTTAAGAATCCCAATTTTCGTAATATTATGATGTCATAGGAATACAAGTGTGAGGTTCCAGAATTGTCCAGAACTAAAATAGAAAAACGTAAAATAATTTAATTATTAGAGAAAAAGGAATGAACAGAAATTTTTTATAGCAACTTGAAGAATAGTCTAGACCTGTGTTTCTCAACCGCTAGTCCGCAACTCTAATCTGACCAGTCTACGAAAACTTTAAAAATATATATTTAACCTGTCATGCGTTGTTCCCAAATAGGAAATATGTGGATTATTAATCTGTTTATTGATAGCAAACTAATAGATTGAATGACTTTAAACACAAAAAACTAATCAAATTAAGTTCAGACTTGGGATTTAAAACATTGTTTGAATCAATGCCCATAACACAGTTTTGGATTAAAGTTAAATCTGAATATCCAGTTTTACATAAAAAGGCAGTTAGGATGTTACTACCTTTTTCAACAACGTACTTATGTGAATCAATGTTTTCAGCAATGGTAATGATAAAATTGAAACAACAAAATCATTATAGTATTAGTTCTGC